GGTTGTCAGGAGTCAAGACCAGTGCTGCTGGGTGCGGTTGCTGCTGCCCCTTGGTGCGCCCAGCAGGGAAGGCGTGTGCGCTGTCTCACTCGCATGTGCTTACGTGGCTGGGATTGCTCCCCCATTCTATCTGCACCTCTCCCCAGCTGACGGTGATTCGCACCGAGGTCTCCGGCCTGCCCCTCCTGCCTGACACCCACCCATATGCTTACTGACTGACCAGGTTCAGTGTGCACACAGCAGCTGACTCCAGGCGGAGAAGCCCCAGGTCTCTGTGGCACAGGCCGCGCCCCTCACGGAGGACAGTCGCTGCGGAGCCCCGTAGGACACAGGGAACCCTGTGGTGGGCTTCGAGCACTGGCTCCTTGGCAGTGGGGCTGCTGGCCAGGCAGCCCCTGTGGCAAGGTCCTTCAGAGAAGATACTTCCTCCTTGTGCTGTTTGTTCTTTGTTTGGGGGGCAGAGAGGCCAGTGGCGGGAGGGTATCAGCGCAGAATCCGTTTCCGTGTTCTCGGCTGACTCTCCTGTGATGTTGCGATCCTGACACTGTCTAACAGGAAGCGACCCTTGTCAGAGGATACTTCAGTATTACGGTGTTTTGGGCAAACATAGTTACACTGAAAAATAATTTCGGAATTGCTCTCTATTGGTGGGGGTTGATGTGCACTAAGCAAGTCTGGTACTGCTGATAGGTCCCCAGCTAAAGCTAATTTCCACAAACAAGGAATAATTCTGTGTATTTGTGCGGTATAGTGGGACATTTTGAGCTATGCATACATTGGAGAACAATTTGCTGAAGCCAAGAAGCCACTTTCTTTTGCGGTAGGATCATTAAAGGGAAGTTCTTTTAGCGTTTGGGAAATGTACAATACATCAATATTGATTGCGGTTACCACGTAGTGCAGTGGATCATGAAAACTCAAGTGCAGTCTCATGGACATTGCTTGCCCTTTGGTTACCATCTCCCCTGTGCCCAGCCCTTCAAGCCTCTGTTTCTGTGAGTCCTACTCTTCTAGCTTGTGTCTACGTGACACCATTGTATGCAGTACTTGCCTTTCTGTGCCTGGCTTATTTCACTTAGCACATCTTCCAGCTCCATCTGTGTTGTTGCAAATGACAGGATTTCTTTCTTTTTAATGACTGCATAATATGCCATTATCTGTATTCCGCCTATTTTTTAAGGTATTGGGGATTGAGCCCAAGGCCTTTTCACTGAGCTACCCCTCCAGCACTTTTTAAAATTTCTTATTTTGAGACAGGGTCTCATTAAGTTGCCCAGGCTATGGCTATGGTCTTTCTGCCTCGGCCTCTTAGAATGCTGGGATCACAGGCCTGCTTCATAAGCCCAGTTTATTCCCTCTGCCCTCTATTCCTCTCTAAACCCAAGCCTCATACATGCTAGGCAAGTGCTCCACCACTGAGCTACATGCCCAGTGCAGTACCCTGCATTTTCCTTGTTCGTTTGTCTGATGATGGCCCCCTGAGTTGCTAACCTTCCATAGCTTGGCTGTTGAAAATGGGGTAAGTTTGTTTGGGTTTTTTTTTGCATAATGATTTCAGTTCCTTTGGCTATATATCCAGAAGTGATGCTGGTGAACACTATGGTGATCCCCTTTTCAGTTCTTTTTTTATCCTTCACACTAATGTCCATTGTGGTTGTACTGATGTACATTTCCACTGAGTGCATAAAAGGGTTCCCTTTTTGCTGCATCTTTAGCAACACTTGTTGTCATTCACCTTTTTGTGTTAGCCATTCACTAAGTCCAAGATGAGAGATCTCACTGTGGTTTTAATTTGCATTTCCCTGAACGTTAGAGCTATTTAAGCTATTTTCATTTATCTCTTGACTATATTGTTTCTTTTGAGAAATGCCAATTTATGCCCTTTGCTCATTTTGTAATAATCACTTTGTCTTCTTGCAATTGATCTGAGAGCTTTACATAGTTTGGGTGTGACTTACAAATATTTCCCCACTTTGTGGGCTGTCTCTCTATTCTGTTGCATCCTTTGCTGTCCAAAGCCTTTCAAAGCTGGTATTTTTTCTAGTATCTGTTGAGACGACCATGTGGATCTTGGGCCTGATTTTGGGAATATGATATGTTATATTTACTGATTTCCGTTTGATATGTGTACCCCTGGGATAGGTCCCACTCAGTACTGGAGAATACTCTTTTCTTTCTTTCTTTCTTTTTTTTTTTTTTGCGGAACCCAGGATTGAACTCAGGCCCTTGCACTTGCCAGACAAGTGCTTATTCTACCGAGCTATCTCCCTGGCCCAGGAATACTCTTTTCACTGTGCTACTGAATTCTGTTTTCTAGTTCCTTGTTGAGAATTGCGGCCGTTGTATCCACTGGAGACTTCGGCCTGTAGTTCCTTTTCTGCCTTTGTTATGAATGTAGTGGTGGCCTCGTAAACTGAGTTTGGAAGTGTGCTGTCATTTTCATACATGGGGGACTTTGGGGAGGGTGGTGCTTTGAATATTTGGTAGAATTCATCAGTGAACTGTGTGCTCCCTGGCAGACCAGACCAATGCTTCCTTGACAGGACAGTTGATATTGCTGGTTTTTTCTTGTTACTCATTTTTGCTCTGCTCAGATGTTTTTATTTCTTCCTGATGTAGTCGTCAGAGGTTGCATGTTTCCATTGTGTCCTCTTGTCTTTTTGAGATAGGGTCTCACTATGCAGTTCAGGCTGGCGACGAGCTCACTTTCTAACCCAGGGCAGTCTCAAACTCACAATGATCCTCCTGCCTCAGCCTCCCCAGTGCTGGGATTATATATGCGCGCCACCACACCTGGCTTAATTTACTCTATTTTTTAGGTTCGACTTTTGCCGGGCGGGAAGATCACAACTTCAAGGCCAGCCTAGATAACTTAATAAGAACCTGTTTCAAAATAAAAAGAGCCAAGAATGGGCTGGACTTGAATTAATGATGATACTCCTGGCTCAGCCTCCCCAGTGCTGGGATTTCCTGGGTGCATCACCATGCGAGGCTTTATTCTGTTCATTTCTGCTCTGCTGCTTTTTTTTTCCAATAATTTTATTGAGAAACAAATAGCAATGAGACAGTTTCAAACCAAATTGGTAGGACAGTTTCAATAATTAGCACATTGCATACATTCTTCCCAGTGGTTAATTGCTGTACAAGATGTGGACATGATATCCTATTTACAAACACCATTAGAACAAATCATTCTATTCATTAAGAGAATGCAACTATATATCTATCCTAACCACTT